TAACATGAAAATGCCATAGCCACTATTATTATCACCGCAATACTATACTGGCTGCTGAAATTGCCACTGTCACTATCATCACACCATTGCCACTTCTACTCAACTTTAATGCCACCACTATATTGGTTGATTGGCTCTTTCAAGTTGGACATTTCGCCAAGGTAGAGATTTGTTGGATTATTGGCTCAATGTCCATTCCCAATATGATTTGAATTTGGTATTGTATTTCCTAAATTGGAATAGAATTTGTGGGTAGTCAAACATTGACTTGGTTTTGAATCCCATATTGGTTTGGATTTGTGATAGACCTGTTTAACTTTGTTTGGACTTCCTAAAGTTTTGGATTTAGTATTTCTTAGTTGGTTTTGGATTGGATTGAAAGGAAACCTGTTTTGTTCTAGGAAGGATTCTTTGACTATAAATAAGTGGAGACTCTCATTAATTCAATTGAGCTTTTCAGTTTCGTTGGCAGAACTTTTTAGTTCCTTGAAGCCCCCATGGGGGTTTTGTTGGTAGACCTTTAGGTCTTTGGTGGAGTTAGTGTCTCCTAGTTAAAACTTGAGACTTGTGTAGAGACGATTTGGGTTTGGTAAGAGAACTTGAATTTCGGGCTTGGTGAGCTTAGTTATTTGTGAGAGATTGTTTTGTCACCATTATAGCTCTTTGGAGCATTGTTCTCTTTGCTAGTGGAATCCTTCTGTTTGTGATTGTCCGTGGACATCAACACATCATTCCTTTTTGTTTTGCCTAATTACATAAAACCATAATGATTTCATATCCAAATTTTGTGTAACAAAGGCAACCTAATTTAACAATTTAACATATTCAAAGATGTTTGACCTCCTTTTTGTTTTTCTTATTTTTTGTTTGTGTGGAAAATCACAGCACTTCAAAATCTTAAGTACCTACGGAAGTTGAATCTCCAAAGAAATTCCATTCAAGAAGGGTCTTATCTCTGTTTGGGAAAGATGCAGTCACTTTATATCTTAAATCTTTCAATCAATAAGTTGCAAGGTGAGATACCAAGATGCCTGTGTGAGCTCCACTCTGTTACAAAGTTAGTTCTATCTCACAATCTTCTCCAAGGAGACATTGGTGCCTGTTTCAGCAATATGAGTTCCATCAGGTATCTAGATATATCTAATAACCATTTTAATGGGAGCTTTCCTTCATTGCTGCTCCACAACATCACTAATATTGAAACCCTTATTGCTTCCCACAACCAGTTCACCGATAATATCTCGTTTTCAATGTTTGCCAATCTCTCAAAGCTTAGTTACCTCGACCTTTCATTCAATGATCATTTAGAGGTTGAAACCGAATCCCCAGCTTGGTTTCCATCTTTCAACCTTAATGGACTATTTTTGGGGGGTTGCAACCTCAACAAGTATAGTGGTAGTAAGATCCCCAGCTTCATCTCCACACAATACAATTTGAAATTTTTGGATTTGTCTTATAATTCACTTGCGGGAAGCATTCCTTCTTGGTTGTTGTACAACGGCACTTCAATATTGCAGCTGAGAGGCAACAAGTTGAGTGGCTCATTCCCCCTGTCAAATGGAAACATGAGTTCAAACCTCACCATGCTAGATATTTCAGAGAATTTGTTCCATGGACCGATCCCTTCAAATCTCAACATAATTCTTCCCAAGTTGCACCATTTGAATGCCTCTTGGAACAATTTTGAAGGAGTCATCCCTCCTACAATTGACATGAGGCTATTGCACACTCTTGACCTAGCAAGCAATCGGTTTCATGGAGAGATCCCTGTTAGTATGACAGAAAACATGACTTCATTGGAATACTTGGTGTTATCCAACAATTTTTTGCAAGGCAAAATACTCCCAAGGAATTCCAGCTTTCCCAAATTGAAGGGGCTTTCTGTCAGGGGCAATAACTTCACTGAAATGAACTCCCGTACCTTGTCGACATGCTCTTCTCTTCAATTCCTTGATGCAGCAGAAAATAGTTTGTCGGGTGACCTTTCTACCCAACTACCTCTTCTGACTAATTTGAAGGTAATCATTCTTAGACGAAACCATTTTGATGGCCGTATCCCAGAGCATCTATGTCAAATGCAAGGTCTGCAAGTGTTGGATATTGCAGGAAACAATTTATCAGATATAATTCCATTATGCCTCAACAACATTACTTCTTGGAAAGGACAATATTTTTCCGATTATCAGAGTGTGCCATACAGTTATGTTGACATATGGATGCAAGTTCCATTTTCAGTCACGCTTATCTTCAAAGGCCGTGAAGTGAAGTTTAAACGTTTGCTCAACATATTTAATCACATAGATGCATCTTCAAATCAACTGACGGGTACAATTCCCTTCCAAACGGGTGACCTCAGAGCTATCAGGATACTTAACGTCTCCAACAATCTTCTTACCGGTCATATTCCGTCATCTCTGGGAAACTTGAGTGACTTAGAGAGCCTAGACCTTTCCAACAACAAGTTGTGTGGCCAAATCCCTCGTGAATTAGTTGATCTTCTATTTCTAGAAGTGTTTTCGGTTGCTTTCAATAACATATCAGGGCAAATACCACAAGGAAAACAGTTTGGTACATTTCTTAACTCTAGCTACGAGGGCAATCCAGGTCTCTGTGGTTTTCCGCTATCAAAGGGATGCTTCCCTAATGTACCAGCAGCAACGTATACTAATGGCGCATCACGAGAAGCATATATTTTTATGTTTTGGTGTCTTGCCCTCCATATCATGTAGTTTAGTCGATCTACACTACATCATCGTCAGACATTTTATTTTGATAAAAATACATTTTTAATCCTTGAATTATGCAGTTTTTTATTTTTTATTTTTATTTTACTTTAGTCTTCCAAATTTTAATTTAGACTTCATATGCTTTGCATAGTGGGGATTAAATTAGTCAATAAAAACAAATCAAACTAATTTAGACAAAATGTCAAATCCAAATAATAATTATTTTACTTTTTCTCTTACAATCATCAAATCAACTACAAATAAAAGTCAAAACTTACCCCAAATACAGCCTATTTAGTCAGGTTAAAATAGTCAAAATAAATTAAAAGGCCAGACTAAAAAAATTTATCTCAAAATTTTGTTTTTAAAATTTTCAATTTGAATGAATTTGGTCCACTTTCAAACGGACCATCTAAAAAGTTAACGGAATGATTATGAAGTACACATAGTTCTTAAAGTATGTGTTGTTTTGGTCCCTAAAGTTTTTTTTATTGTTGTCAATTTGGTCTCAAAATATTGGTAAATAAGTTAAAACATAAACTTACAATATTAAGGAACATAATTGACAAATTTGAAACTTTAGGAAGCAAAATGACACAAATTGTATACTTTAGGGACTAAAGTTGAAATTTATAGTTATTTTGTTAACTATTTAAATAATTGTTTGGAATTGAACCAATTTGACTCAAATTAAAAATTTTAATAATGAAATTGACAAAATTAAAACTTAAAGGACCAAGGTAATGCCTTATTTTATCCTTTTAATTTTTTTTTTTGGAGGGTTGGGTTGGGACAACGGAAATAGAAAATAAAATAAAAAATGTGTATAATGGGTGGTGTGTCTGAAAATGGATGGAGATGTAAGACTAGTAGAACTGTACCAAGCTCATTTAATATGAACATATAAGAGCCCTCCAAGAGCATCTTAGCTAAATAAGACTTATTAGGTATTTTAGTTAATATAAGTCTAATTTTGAACTTCAATGGGTTAGCTATTGGGCGAGTTACTTTACCATCTTATTTTTTTGGTAATTACAATTGAAGAGTCCCAGAGGCTTTCTAAACAATTATGTATGTATATTTTTTAGATTTTTATATATTTATGTCTTGGATTTGAGATTTTTTATATATAGATATATGTGTGTGTGTATGTAGCAATTTTATATGTTCTTTCAATTCTGTTTGATGAATTACGAAATAACTTATTTTGTATTTTGTATTTTTTTTCCTCCTCATTCTACATGTTTTTGTATGTTTGTATGGACAAATTTATTATTATTGCAAATTTATATTAGTAAAATATCAACAATTAGTATTTTTTTATTTTAAAAATTAATTAAGTTAGTTTAAAGGGTGAATTACATTAATAGTGCCTATAGTTTGAGGTTTGTGTTACTTTGGTCTCTGACTTTTCAATTATGACACATTTGACCCTGAATTTTGAATCTTGTTCCAGGACAATTGAAGATATCATTGAATTTTTCAAGGGCAAAACCATCAATTTGATAAAATATAAATTAATTTGACAAAAATAAATATAAAAAAATATTTTTAAATTTTTAAAAATTATTTCTGCCCACTAAAAATAAAATTATATGAAATTGATAAATCTTTTAGATATTTATTTATTTTTTTTTTATAAATTAATTTTTATTATGTGTTTGGATGAGGATCATGTAAAATTAATTTTTAAAAATTAATCATGTAATTTTTATTAATTTTTATCAATTTTATCATTGGTGGATAAAAATAATTTTAAAAAAATTAAAAGTATTTTTTTGACATTTATTTTTGTCAAATTAATTTATATTTTATTAAATTGACGATTTTGCCCATTGTCCTTATTTGGAATAAGATTCAAAATTCAGAGTCAAATGTGTTATAATTGAAAAGTCAGGGACCAAAGTGACACAAGTCCCAAACTATAGGAACTGTTAGTATAATTTGCCCTAGTTTAAATGATTAGCTAAAATAAAGAACATGGTTGGAGAACACAATAGCTAAAGTAATTAGGTAAAATAAAAAATATACTTTTTTTACACTTTAACTAGTGAAAAGTAGAGAGCGTGGTTAGAGTTACTCTAATTCATCACTCCTTTTTGTCCATCAAATTTGTTCAATAATTTAGATCAAAATCTTGATTTGATATGGCTCACTCGAACAGGGATAATCAAATTTTTCATCAATTCTTTTTTAAGAATACCTAACCTATCCTGGTTGACTGCCCATAGAGTCTCTTATTTGAATGAGGGCAGACTTTTCTTCTTCCCAGCAACCTGTATACATTACAGAACAACAACAAATGATGATAAGCATCACAAGCCACATTAAATTCCAGCTTTCCCAAATTGAAGTGGCTTTATCTCAGGGGCAATAACTTTACTGAAATGCACTCCCCTAGCTTGTCGACGCGCTCTTCTCTTCAAATTCTTCATGCAGCAGAAAACGGCTTGTCAGGTGATCTTTTCACCCAACTACTTCTAAAAGGTAATCATTCTCAAGAAAACCGTTTTGAAGGCTGTATCCAGAGCAACTATGTCAAATGCAAGGTCTGCGAGTGCTGGATATTGTAGAAAACAATTTATCTGATATATGCTTCAACAACATTACTTCTTGGAAACAACAATCCGATGATCACAATTGGGAATACCATTCTGATTCTGGGGGGTACTACTTCAAGTGTTGTCATAAAACATAAGGCAACCAAATTTATTCAAGTTAGCCATGCTCATCACTCACATAGATGTATCTTCAAATCAATTGACGGTTACCATTCCCTTCCAAATGGGTGATCTCAGAAAGATCATAGTAATTAATGTCTCCAACAATTTTCTTACTAGTGATATTCCGTCATCTCTGGGAAACTTGACTGCGTTAGAGAGCCTAGACCTTTCCCACAAGAAGTTGTTTGTGAATTAGCTGCTCTTCTATTTGTGGAAGTGTTTTGATTGCTTTCAACAATATATCAGGGCAAACACTACAAGAAAATCAATTTGCTACATTTGATAATTCTGGCTACATGGGCAAGCCTGGTCTCTGTGGACGTCTGCTAGGAAAGGAATGCTCCCTCTAATGTACCAGCAGCAACGCATATTGATGGCACAGCACGAGAAGCATATATTTTTATCTTTTGTGTCTTGTCCTCCATATCATGTAGTTTAAGAACTCTCCCAACTACAAAGATTCTACTAGAATATGTTTTTTTCTGTCTCAACTTATTTTTTTCTATCTAGCTCTAATAGTTTACTCTTCAATATTTTTATAAAATTCAATCTTAAATTCTTTGATTTCAAATCAAAATGCGTAAGTAACTTAGTAGCAAGCTAATGATACCTTATATATCTAAGATCACCCTGATCCTCTCTTGTTTTATTTTTGTCACAATAAAGTACATTATCGAAGTATAGAATTCAACTCGAGTTTAAAATTAAAATAAAATAACATTAAAGTACTTTGTATATTTGTTAATTCCACATAAAACAAAACCATATCATTTTTTGTCTACTTTAAACATAGACCATTAAATTACCATAGTAAATCCATTATAAAGAGATTCATGGCATGGGATCCTGATCCAGTTTTGTGTACCTCACAACATGACTAATCAAAACCGACTAAAACATTTCATGAACCCATTGGAGATTTAGGACATCAAATCAAAACATAGGTCTTTCTATGCTCAAATGCATTTTGTCTGTTCTCTGCTGAAATGCATTTTCTCCTACATTTTAAAGAGGCCCTCCAAAATAGGATCATCACAAAATTCAGGAAATTTGTAAGATCAAAACTAAGAAACTTGAAATTTGAGTCTCGATTGCTTACCCAAAGTTGAAATGCCATAAAAATGCCACCAAAACAACACTATGGAAAAGAAAGTTTCTCCTTGTTTAGAATCGGATGATGGCAAAAACTAAAAGTGTACAGGAAGTCGTCAACTTCTGAATCTGGTGGCGATCCCATCTGCTTAATCAAGTCTCTGCAAAAAGAACAAGATAACATAATGAAAATTGATGAAAGGTTCAAAAAGATTAAGAGCTTGAGATTTTGAAGGTGGTAAAAATGGGAAAACATGCTTTGTTTGGTTGAGCTTTCCAAACTTGTTGTCTGAAATTTTTTTCTGAAAAGTTAGAAACTAGTTTGACAAAAATAAACACTAAAAAAGATATTTTTAGATTTTCAAAAATTATTCCCATCCCAAAAAAGTGAAAACCATATCAAAATATGAGTGCTTTTATTTTATTTTTATTTTTTCCCCCAAACTAGTCTATGAAAAAATTTCAGAAAACAAATTCTGAAAACTCAACAGATTTATTGCATATGACATAATTAGTACATTTTGCAAGATTGTACCTCCTGTTTCTCTTCAGTCCTGGTTTCCGCCTGAACTGGGGCTTTTCCATCTTCTGCTATCGTGCTGCCTTGGTGACTCCCTGCAGCATATACAAATATCAGCAATTACATTGAAAGCATTTGATAAACACGTGGACTAATGTAATTAGGACGCTTAAAAAACCACCACATTTGAACAAGCATTTTAACCATGTAGAATAGAATCATCTAATGAATCAAACCTTCCACGAAACAGATGCAATATAGAAAGTTTTGGTTCACAATTGCGATAAATCAAACACATTATGATAGAAAGTCCAGTATGCATTACAAGGTTCGTGACAGAACATGATAAGTAGAAATGAGGTTATTATATCTGACTATGTAAAGAAAAATAGGTCTCACGAACAAGTGCCGCTAGGGCACAAGAAAAAGACTAAACAAGAACACAAGACACATTTATTGGGTTCAAAACACTTTTAACTGAATTCAATACACTCTTCATTGAAATCAAAACACTGCTTAACTTTTTCACCTATTTTCAAGACACTTTTCACCCCAATTGCAATACTAAACAATGCCCCAGGGGCACTCATTGGCCAATAAAAACTAATAGGATTTATTCATTATTCACTATACACAGTAGACTCATTCGAAATGCTATAATATACTAGATTAACTGGCTCTTTTACCATGTGTTCAAATGCCCCTGAATACGAATCCGAAAAACGAACCATCAGAATACATTTTGGAGGGTCAGTTGATCACCTGGGGGTACTGATATTTGATCACCAGAACCAAACCCATGACTGGAGGTGCCTGTCATGGATGACCACCATTGATATTCCCACGATGATGCAAAATTGCTGGCCATGCCTGTTTCTTTCTCTCCACTCGGTATGTAGCTTTCACCAGGGACTGGTGCAGTAGATTTTGGTACAAAAGTTGTGGACCAAGATCCTCCGTTCAATCCAGCTAATGCCATTATCACATCTGCCTGAAATAGACAAGGAAGCAAACTGGTAAGGGCATCCAATTCAGATGTGACAGAAGTTCACGAATATCAAGTATACTTGAACAACAATGTTACAGGCACTACACTTCTCACTGCATTTCCGATCGCCTCTCTCACAAGGCTGTGGGTCAATGAGAAATGTGGTGTATGTATCCTTTTCCATAATTAAATGATAACAGCTATTGGGGTAGTGTGGATACCGACAAGTAAGGTATTTTTTGTACTCCCACACTAGTGGCTTGTTGCCCTAATTTTCTATGTATTTATAATTGAGAGGGTTGTTGAGAGAGAGTGTTGCCTCATTGTAATCTCTACATTCATAGGGAAACTCCTCCGTCATTCTTTGCCTGTGGACGTAAGCTTATAGCCGAACCATGTAAATCTTTGTGTGCTTGTGTGTTTTTTCTATTTTTATTTTTTTCTCATCTTGGCCTTTTCCATAACAAAACATCCTTTGCACAACAAAGCCACAATCAACAATATGAGATCTTACGAAGCTAAAACAATAGCATATAAATTTTGCCAAATAATTGCCCCGGTCATTCCTCTTTTGGGAGCCTCATTACAGAGCCAATGCTTTTAATTCTATCTGGACATGCTAATCTAAAGCAAGAATGAAGATGACAAGAATAAAGGAAGAAAACTTGAAAATGATGGTATTGAATAAAAAACGTTAGTCTTGTTACAAATTTAACTGAAAAGCTACACAAATTTTTTTATAATAAACAAACACTCCTGATTTCCATTTCCTATCCTCTTATAATCTCTCTTTTCCAGCTGGCAAAGCAAAAGTAGGAGGGGGTTAACAAACCTCTACTTTGGAAGTCCTTTTCAATTGCTTTTTCTATTAGATCACAAACCACGTATTCAACAACAAATTTTATTCACTCTTGTTTTAAGATGGCAATGGAATCCATCCAAGAAAATATTTAAATTTTTGCCCATAAAAAGACAATTGAGTGACATGCATGGATATTAGAATCATACACCAAGCAAATTGCTTAGCTCAACAATGTCCAATATGCGGGTCGACTTAGTGAGCTCAATAGCTTACTCCCTTCGCTAAGCTTCTCAAGGATCCTTTGAGATGACTAGATAATATGGGATACATATTGCCAACTTCATTCAGCCTTTTTCTTAATTTTCTTTGTTGGATAAGTAAATATTTATTAAAAGGCATCCAAGGAGATGGTACCCAAAAACATCCACAAGTACATCTAAGCAAAACAGAAGTAGCTATACAATCTTTCAGTCCTCAAAATTCTCTATGAAATCCAAAATATCCTCAATTATTGGGTTAATAACCCCCAAATGCACATAACCGAAATGGTCAACAAAAAAGATTTCAACTTATAAGGGGTTTCTCTAGCCCACAAAAGATTGCTGATTCCTTTCTCTCCAAATTATCCACATCAAACACAAGGGAGCCAATCTCCAAGCCTTGTACTTTTGCCAACACTCACTACACTGCACAATATAGGACATGTCAGACACCACTCGAATGATTTTAATATCAATTTGTCTAGCTCTAATAAATTCCATTCCAAGAGCAAATGAAAAGCCAATTGAGTAACACTCCCAGGATCTTGAAAATTGAGAACACAAAAAGCCTACAAAACCCAGGGCATCCAACAGTGAGGAATTAGTTGTTAACTAACTCCAAGCCTCTGTACAAATTATTCACTCATTAAAAAAATAAATTATGCATTCATCAGTAGCATTCCATTTTTGCTAACCATTTGGTCCAGAGTAATTTTTTCATTCTCACTGCCCAACTAGCGAGAACACACCTTCAGAGAGGAAAGAATAGAAGTGCACATCCTCTTTTCTGCAAGGAAGAAGTCCCACAGCATTGGCCAACATCTTGTAAAGAACATTTAATCAATAATTTTTTCCATTTTCATAGCCCCTCCAAACAAGAATATCAGCCACACCTTTATTAAGCTTATAAGACTAGGAGTTTGGCATTATTTTCTGCTGCTAATCAAGTATTCTCTTTTTTATAGAATCCATGGAAGTTTTAATAAACATAACATATATAAGGGGGACACACAGCTCTCACCTTCCCCTCTACCACCAAGTACGGAAAATGGAGTATAAGAGTGTACATGAGAAGTGTAGAAATGGAATCACACTACTGATTATATTTTAGCTAGAGGTCTTTCCCTCGGACAAGAGAAAATATTGAATTTTTTGAAAATTTCCTAGCATGTGGGAATCCTTGCACTTATCAGGATATCCTTCCATAACAAGGGAATGTCTTCACCTAAATAATTGGGTTGTCCCAACAAGACATGCTTGATTTGGTGACATTCCACATCATAGAGTTTCAGTCCTCTTAATTGAACAAACAAACAACGTATCATATAATTCAAGCACACTTGTAACGCAAATTTATAGCCACGTTAGTTGCAACAAAAGTTTGGTTACACAGTCAGTATGATTCCATAAAGGGTCATTGAGCACATATCTCAGTGAATTTCTAATAATTTATTTGAGGATTTATAAGAAATGCTCCTTACAAAAAAAGAATAGAAAAATATTCAAAAGAAAAGCAGCCGCGGAGGGGGTAGCCACTTTGTGCACATGATGCCATCCAATCCACCCCTAGTGTTAGTCCCTAAAATTATAGGGACTAACACTAGGCAATATCCTTTAGACTAAAAACAAAGCAGCAACTATGGCTTGGTTGGACAAGGCATATCCACTTTGGAAGAAATGAGATCGTTGGAGTGAGGCCTTTTGGGAAGATAGTCAGCACTGAGATAACAGGAGAACACCTAAGGTAGAGGGCCTAAGGTAAGGAGAAAGTCAAAACAGTAGAATTAGAAGTTATTAGGCACAATCCAAACAACACTTCCACAAGGGCACCTTATATATTAATGGAAATAATATGCAAGTGTCAATGCGGGACAAGCCGACATATAATACGATGTTTCATGAAGATACAATTTACCTCTAGCCTCACCTGCCATCCACAGGTCAATCTTCTTTGAGTAGTATCTACAATGTCCCATACGGTTTGTAACTTAATGTTTCCTTACACACAAATCTCAATGGGTTCACTAAGAAACAATGACTCACTTCTTCCTAAAAATTAAATATTAGGCAATCTTCAAGCACCAACTTCTAACCAAAAATCAAAGTAAAGCATCAGCGACAGCCAGGAAACATCTTCATACAACCAAAACCATGTTTCTCCCAAGGCTAAAGGCCAATGCCAAAGTGTTGTAATTTCGGAACTAACCAAACCAAATTCCTCCCGAGACCATACAGAACTATAAATTTCAAACAACTGTAGAAGGAACTCAGCCAAGCTGGCCTACCTTATATGTTCTCCCATTAGTCAATTCACTTGCATAACTCATAAGCAAGCAACATAGGATAAAATTATCTCACTAATCAATTGCATTAAGCAGAAATTCCTTCATTACTCAGAATTTAGAAACAAGCAGAAGCGAACCTTGTTCGGGCGAACATCATCAAAAACATAGACTTGACCACCATAAAATATAGTCATTTGGCGACTGGAAGATGCTGATCCATGTTGACTGTCAACAAATAGATAAAAATTAGACCAAATAAATACTCTTCATATTCCAAAGCATAAAAGTTGAGCGTAAGAAACAGCAAGAGCAATAAATTGTATCCAGTTATAACCTAGGTCTCTGAGTCAAAGATTCTGACTTGGAATTATGAGTTCCGGACTTCTGCTTACTACCAGTCAGCAGCACCCCAGACGGGTTTCTATCTGAGACTCCACTGCTAGCATTAATGGAGGTCTAAATTCCAGTGCGAAACCCTTCATCAGCAGCTGCTTGAGATATAGCCGAAGGACCTGCATTAGCATCCTTGAATCTGTTTGAAGGTACTTGACCCCCAAAAATAGCAACTTGGCCCACCCGTGGAGGATACTGCATCGAAGGGCCCGCATTCAAGGGAATAACTTGCTCACGTTTGGACCCACTGGCATTGGTCCTACTGTGAGTGGGTGGCTGTAATATACGAGACATTGGAGTTGGCCTCATCGGATGCATACCAAAGAACATTGCCTCATCGTGGGTACGCCTAGGCGTCGCTCTTCCTGCATTTCGAAGTATCTGAATTTAACAAAGATTAGCAACATCCGAGGATTTTAACTACATTGATTGATCCAAATACAAAAAGAAAGTCCATGAATACCTTCATCAAATGCAAGCCATCGAGGGATTCTGGTCCTGCTTGTGGAAACCCGTCTCTGGATGAAAGCAGAATCTGACTTATTTTGCTTATTTCCAGCGAATCAGTTACTCATTTCAGTCCCGGTGAGATCATTCCTAGGGCCATAGGATGGAAACCCCTCAAAATGATTTGCAACCTTTCTTTCTATCATAGTCTGATGAGAACAAGAATCAAAATATAATTTCGATCGATAGAAACCCCGCTTGATCATAAACACTCTTCAATATGTCGCGATTTCAACAAACAATTACAACTACAATTACAATCCCCACTTGATCATAAACACTTCCAAATGTGGCAATTTCAACAAACAATTACAACTACAATAACAATCCCCACTTCATCATAAACACTCTTCCAAATGTGGCAATTTCAACAAACAATTACAACTACAATTAGTCATGTTCACCTATTTAAGTCACTGATAAAATCCACAAGAGAACAATACCTTTCAACCCATAGGCACACTAAAATCAAAGAGTTCAAACTTGTTTAGTTCCAAAAGAAGTAACAACATACAATGAAGAAAAACATCAATCACAATTGCAACATACCCATACAAAATACTAATATGGGATCCAAATAAAGAAATGAGGGAGCCAGAAAAGAGTAGCATGATTGCCCCCATTGATGAGCGAGAACAGAGAGAATCCACAAAGGCTACTAACCCCATTGATGACTTCATCTAAGCTACTCCATAACAAAGATACCCACCCCACTAGGAGACATATACAGGAAAATAGAAACAGAGAGAAATATATATACACATATAAATCCATATTTGGAGAGAATGCGTACAAGCATCAGATAAGAATCAATAAATGCCCATTAAACTAGAGAGAGAGAGAGACAGGGAGAGAGACTTTTGTGCAACATCAGAAGAAAAATTGAAACAACCTACTGAAGTACAGGCAAGTAAAGAACAAATTGCAAGCAAGGAATGTACTCCATACCATAACCCAGATCAGTAGTCGAGGAGATGGGTCCGTGGACACTGCCAGAAAAACCACCAACAGAGGCGGAGGCCGACGGAGACGCCTCCAACAAAGTTGGATTTGAGTGAGACAATCCAGGTTGCGATACCAGATAATTAAAGCAACCATCGCAGGCTCCAATTCGCTTTATGAATCAGCTAGTTATCTAAGTCCATGATCTGTCTCTTTTCACCATTACCAGACTTGACAAACTCCAGAAGCTTTGCAGTCCTAGGATATCCTTCATCCAACCATTTGTAATTGCTCGGTATAGAATCTCAAAAGAAACTGCATTAGGTTCACACCCCTCCATCACCATCTCTTTCAATAACAAGATAATGTCCCAAAACTTGCCACTCTTTGACATTGCCTCCAGTATTGTATTGTAAATGGAAATACTTGGAGTAATCCCATTCTCAATCATTTGGTTCTGCAGCTGGAAGGCCACCGATATCTTGCCTTCCTTGCAAAGGCCATAACTGAAGGACCCGAAGGTAACAACATCTGGTTTTAAACTTTGGCTACACATCTCCCTTAACAACAGACCCATCAGCTCATCATTGCTTTCTCTTACGGAAGCACGTATAAGAATATTATAGGCTATCATATCGGGTAATACTCCAGTGCTTTTCAAGTATTTGAAAATCCGGAGTGCAGTTCCAAGAAACTGATTCTTGCAAAGGCTGCTCATAAGTGTATTAAAAGTCCCTACAGTAGGACTGGGACCATTTGATATCATTGCTTCCAGTAACTTTAAGCACTCCAGAATCTTTCCAACCATGCAAAAATATTGAATCAAACAAGTTGAACTAACTACATTAAGCTTAATACCTTCATACTCCTTCCGATATAAGATTCTTCGAATCATTGGAGAATTTCCTTGTTTGCAGGCTGCAGACAAAATTGTATTGAATGAAACTATGTCAGGTCCATTTGCACCCCACTCTATATGGTCAAAAAGTTCTAGAGCTTCATCAATGTTGTCCTTGCAAAAGCCTTTCAAAATTGTGTCATATGATACATTATTTGGTCTAAAACCTATTTCCATCATACTCCTCAATAGAGATAATGATTCACTTGATCTATTCTCATGACATAGAATATTAAAGTATATATTGTACATTACAACATCCACAGTACATCCCCTTGAAATAACATTAAGCAAGAATTTAGTGGCAACCCCTATTTTCCCCCCTTTTAACAAGCCACCAACCAAAGCAGCATGAGTGAATGGATCAGGATATAACCCCTTTTGATCAATAACCCTAACAAGCTCACCAATTTCAGCAACTCTACTTTGGTGACAAAGTTTGTGGAGAATTATGTTGTATGTGACTAAATCCGGATCACATCCTTCCTTCTCCATCTTATCCAAAAGGTCTAATGCCTCTTCAATCTTCCCATCATCTAAAAGAAACTTAACAATTGCAGTGTATGTTATCACATTGGGCTTTGCATTTCAGCCAAACAACAAAAAGTCTCTTCCCATAATCTTTCCTCTTCCCATAAACTTTCCCTACTAAACCCATAAACCAGAGCAGTATATGAACACACATTGTGTGCAAGGCCCCCCTTCTTTACAGAATAAAACAATGCCAAGGCAGTATGGGTTTGACCAGACTTGCACAGAGCCCATAATATTGGATTGTAACTATATGCACCTCAAAAAGAGTCCCGTTGGAGAAGAACAGAGAACACAAAATACGCCTTGGTAATCATCCCAGCTTTGCTAAGACAAACAATCAACAAATTCAAATTGGGTTCAGGTGGACAATAGTCGAGTCTCAACATTAACTTCAATACATAAAGCGCATCTTCTATTAAATATCCGGATTTTAACGACTTGTTCAACAATTTTGACAAGAAACTAAATGAAGGTATAAATCCACTTGTATACATTTCCTCTGCAATAATAAAGGTAAGTTCAATGTTGTTTGCATGCGAATGCGAAAGCATAGCATTCAAAAAGGTATTGAAAGTTGATGCATTTGGGTAAGGCCCAAACCTTTTCATGGAAACATGAACACCAAACAACTCATCCAACAAGACATGTTTTTTTTGATTTGGAATAACAATGTATTAAAGCATTAAAATCATAGACAGTGGGTTTGCCAGGGACATTATTCCTCATGAAATTCAACGTGTGGAGAGCTTCCTTAATGCAACCTGAGGTGGCATAACCTTGCATCCTCTTCTGTAATTCAACATAACAACAAGAGGACTCATCATAGGTTTCACCTTCTTCTTCATGAAAATAATCTAAGGAGGTTTGAATAGCACAAGCAGAGTATGAAAAAAGATTGACAATTGATGATGCAAAACCCCAAACCTGTTGCAAATCGTCCCATGTGAATGTGAAGAAACTAAAGCAACAAGTGTAGAAAGTAGTTTTTCACCAAGGATATGATGATTATAATGGATGATGAGGACAGACAATAATTGTCTTCCAAAAGTAGTGATGGGTTGTTATGAAGGCTGTGCATAATACCCCAAAACTGCACCAAATCGCTCCGAACCGACCAATTTTTCAACTCTGGCGAGCAGGTTGGGTCCCAGTTCTGGCGGGTCGGCGCGGGTGTAATTTTGCCTAACCGCATTTTTAACTGACCCGACCCGCCTCCTGATGCAAAAAAAAACATCCTCTGTTACACACACAGAGCAAGAAATTCCAGCCATAGATTACACGCACACACATCTATCAGACATATACTCACACACACACACAATAATTCCTCAATTAAACCTAATTGACCCCACATTTCATCTCATTCATATCGATTCATCGCCGCTGTCTGTCACAAACATCTGGTCTCATTCCTCACCTCGCCGATCGGCTGTCATCACCGCCGCTGTCTCCTTCCCTTGCCGATCGGCGCCTACTCGTCGTCGTCGACTCGTTGCGTCGGTACGTGGCTCTCTCTCTCTCTCTGCTTGCTCTCGCTGCTCTGTCTCTGCCCTCTCTTGCAGCTCTCTCTCTGCTTTTTTCTTTTCTCTCGCTGATCTCTCGCTCTGTGTTCTTTACTCCCTCTGCTCTCTCTGCTCTTTACTCCCCGCACTGTTAGCCTCTAACAGTAACTCACTGATAGCCTCTGTTCTTTACCTTTTGATTCAACTTTTGTAATTTCAATCCGCAAGGCAAATTCTTCGTTATTTGCCAACTGAATCATTAGTTTTTGATAATAATAATAATAAAAAAATGATATTTTTATCCATACGTAACCCGTCATACAATTTTTACTTTTCTTTTAAATCGCATAACTCGCACGGGGCACACCCTAATTATTAAGGGATGGTTTTGGATATTTTAAATAAATATATTTTTTGATTTTTTATAAAATGATATGTAGAAAAATAGAGAAAAAATATTGATTGATGTAATCTAAAAAAAATAAAAAAATAAAAAAATTGACTAAAATAGGTTATGCCAAACAAATTTTTTTGCGACGTCATGGAGTTGGGGTCCCACATGAAGTTGGGCAGACGGGGTGGGCCATCATGTTGATGGTTATGGAAATATTAGGTAATAATATGGTGAAGTTACAGTTATGCTACGTAGCTCGAATCTCTCTTCTCTGAATCCCTCGAATTCAAAACGACGTCGTTTTGTCATTTTGATTTTTTTTTTTCAATAACGCAGAAGAAGGAGGAAGAGAAGAGTAGCAGAGAGAGAGAGAAAGAGAAAAAAAAAATATCATCAACAACATCATCATCATCTTTAGATCTTCATTAACATCATCATCAACAACCATTCAACCACAACATCAACATCATCAACAACCATTCATCATCTTCATCATCAACAACAACATCTTCATCAACATCACCACCATCATTATTAACACATTTTCAATGATGAGAGGCTTAGATTCTTCACTTCGATCTGAAAAAAAAAAACGAGCTAAGGAGATCAGCGATCGGAGGCGACGGCGATCGACCCTCTCTCTCTCTCCATTCCCTCTTCCCCTCTCTTCTCTTTCTTTTCCCCTCTCTTCGTCTCTCTTCTCTTCATCTTTCTCTTTATCTCCCTCTGTTTCAGACTGCATAAGGAGAAAATAAAATAAAAAGAAACTGCCCAAAACGATGTCGTTTTGGACAGTCGGGGGATTCGGGGAAGCAAAGATTCGAGCTATAAACCATTTTTCGTGAAGTTATTGGTTTATCTGGGGTATTAACTGTGGTTGGTTGGAGGAGGGGTGGAGCATAGGAATTTGTGTTAGGTGATTGAAAATTTGAGATGCAATTCGCTCAATTATAATTGGTAAGAAATATGATCACGTGACGCTCTTAAACCAACCAATAATTTTCTTAAACCAATCAATAATTTTTGAATAATATGAGTATGAGACAGCAACTGAGGGTTTGTTTGATTGGACAGACTATAATACATGATCAAGATTATTAATTCATAAGACTTATATTCCATTATTTGGTTGTAAGTTTTATTATTCGAATTAAATTTCAATTGTCATTCTATGTAACAAAATTGACAAATTTTTTAATCTTACAACTAATAACACAAAATATGAATATAATTGAAATTATATATTTTCATATATATTACAAAACAAACATGGATAAAAAAGAATTATAAATCTCACCAATTCGACTGAATAATCAAATATATACTTATCTCATGAATGGTTAATTCTCTCACTATTAATTCTGCTAACAATGGGCCACACAACATGAGGCCAAACCCAGCTTCTAGGCCGTTGTTAAGAAAGGCCCAAAACATTAAGGTTTCTTAGTGTTCGTTTGGGATGTGTGTTGATTTTTTGACTTTTTGATTATTTTAATTTGGGGTTAAAAAGTTTCGTTTGGATAAACTTTTTGACTTTTTTGACTTTTTGACTTTTTGGTGAGGTGTCCATTTGTAAAATTACCCAATTGTTCTTCACCATACCATATACCCTTTGCTTTTGATTTACTTGTGCGTGTATTTTTGTTTTCTACAATTTTTTTTAATTACCCAAAAAATGAGAATTTTACCCATCTTAAAATAAAAAAAAAAGGAGGCCTTCTACAAAATTGTATGTGAATATACAATTTTGAGAAATTTTTTAAAATTTTTGTTTCGTTCCAATTTTTTCAAAACGAAATTTCCTAAACTGCAAAACTATTTTCAAATCATACCAAACTCCCAAACTGCAAAAATATTTTCAAAATATAACAAAACAAACCAAAAAAACCAAAGTTACTCTCGCCCCAATTTTTTTTTAAAAAAATTATCTCCAAACACACCCATAAATTTCTCTTTTGGTATCTAATTTCGGACACATCACCTTTACACGTGTTGCACAATTGGTTACAGAAAAGTTGGTACAAATCATATTGCTACCTTTTACCCAAAATTGAGTTCACGACCAAATATTGTCATTTTTGACATAGTACTTGCCCATTTTATTTATTTAAAATTTTAAATTTTTCTGTCACAGTCATCAAATCGAAATACAGTGGTTTGCCATCGTGCTACCATGCTTTTGTATTACTAGTACATAACAAATTTTCTCTTTGTCCAACCCAATAATTTTACAAAGTAATGCACGTAATTCATAGTACTTTCATGTTTCGTGTAAACACATACATATTGTACAATATTATATAAGCACATACATCCCGACTAATTGCTGAACACTGTTACAAGCATATGAATATTAGGTTGACTATATGTTTCCTAACATTCCGTTATTTCGCATGTACACTAATTTGTCCCGTATGCGAACTTGCACCAATGTCATATGGGGGTCCTCATCCTCAACCATTAAACCATCCTCGTCATGTATAACTTCCGGTATGCCATTTACTATTGCCATAGCCTCTTCCTCGTTGACGATGGGGTTAACAGTTGTTGGATTGCCAATATTTCTACACATATAGTTATGTAATGCCATTAACGCCTTACGAAATCATACCGGGGCATATTTTGAATAAACCCTCATCGATTTTTCCATGAGTCGAAAGTGCGTTCCACTACACTCTGTAACCACGCATGAACTTTGTTAAATAATTCCCTACGGTTGTTTGCTATTGTATGAGAGGGTTCAAGAACGTCGTTGGAAAATTCGAAATCTTCGAAGATCCTTGAAGAAAAATTCAAATTCTCTAGAAGATGATGAGAGGCTTAGATTCTTCAATAGTCTTAACTAAGAATACAAGAGTAAAGAGATGATGGAGATAAGAGATTGGGTGAAGAAGAAGGCAAAGTAGCTAGAGAGAAGATAATGACAAGGCTCTCCCATGGATCTCCCACTTTCACTCTCAAGGTTAATAATGGAGAAGGGAAATTAGTTCTTTCCCCCAGAGTTATCTCTCCAAAATCCATCCATTGTAAAGCTGTGGGTAGGTGCTATTTATAGGCACCTCATGATGTAGGATGGAGCCCATGTGCAAGGCACATGGGGAATATTCTCTCTAACCACCTTGTCCGAGGAGGTGACCTCTCCGAGGATGAGGAAAACCCTCGAAGAAGAGATCAACTTCTTGGCGAACCCTTTTTCTTAGCCACACTTAACCAATGATCCCCAATCATCCCAAAGGGTCAGGGGTAGTCCCAGAGGACGTCCTGCCGCATAAGGGTCAGGGGTAGTTCAAGAGAACACCTTACCGCAAATATTGCCGCGTCTCAGGGACCCCCTAGATCATGCCATTTCGACCTGGGTATAAGCTAGTTTAACCAAAGAGTAAATTTATCTCCACTCACCATCCTCGAGATCGGGTCCTTTGTTCGAACTCCATTACGCCCATGGTTCTGGTACATAGATCCTGGAAAGCTTCGAGTCCATAAGTATTCTAGGACTCATTAATGGGAATTCGTTCGAAGCCAAGTGCTTTGGATCTCTAGGTTCGTGGATCCGAACCTTTTCGAGTCTAGGCTCGAGTAAGTCTCTAAGTTCGTGGATCCGAACCCTTTCGAAGCTTAGAGCGATTCGGCCCGTTTGTTGGCGATAAATCCAAGCCCACCAATCTTGGACTTGCGACAAATTTAGGTCCACCAACGTTGGACTATTGGGCCTAATTAGTTTAATGGGCTCAAATTAGCTCCTCTTACATTTGCCTCTTGTGTGTATGAGAAATTTTAGTTTTCTCGGACATGCATAGTTTCACATTTTCATCCATGTTTCGCATTACGTCTTCAAGAATATTTTGTCTTGACAGACTCTAAGGATAAAGCTGATGACTCATAATGTATGGAAAAGATTGCCAACTAGTAATGATAAGAAAGAATCTTCTATCCTTATGCTATTTTTGGCAAACACATTTCTGTGCCTTTAATAATAATAATAATAATAATAATAATATTATTATTATTATTATTTTTTAGCTTGACAAGATAAGGCCACACTTTTTTTTTAGAATACAGTAGGCCCACTTTCCACTTTATATATATATATATATATATATCAAAGACAAAAAGCCCTCCATCTGTAACCACTTTTTTTTCAAATCATATTCTCAACATATTCTTTCTCAAATATTTGGCATATTCTCAACATATTCTTTTTCAAATATTTGAGACCACTAGAACAGATTCTTTATTTTTTTATATATTCAAGCCAAAATCCATCATCCTTATCTCCTTTTTAGCAGTGTATGAGCCCACTTTCTGAAATGTAACTAGCAAAAATATATATATATATTTTTTTGCTTTTGTTCTGAGAAGTCCACATCCAAACCCATTTTCGTTTCTCTCTCTAGAGTATTGAAGGACCATAACTTTTCAACACCTCATCCTTTTTGAAGGCAACGTAGCAGAACTTGGTTTTGTCTCTTCAACAGCAAAGAGTCACCATTGCTAGGGACGTAGCCATTCAACTGAGTGCTGTTGGCTCGCGTGTGCCTTGCTTACACTACGCCCCTGCCTTGTTCTTTTGCTCCAAGCATTGTCATCACTCAACGTCGTCGGCCTTCAAGAGAACCAGCCGCCGTCGGCCTTCAAGAAAACCAGTTGCGATCTTGTCTTGCGCACGCGACCATCCAACACGCGTGGCCTGCATGCTTTGTGTCTGGTACTTGTGACCTCACTGTTGCTTTCAGCCATGACCGACCACGTCGCCCACTCAGCGCGACGTTGGCCTGCCCAACATCCTTCTCGTCCATTGCTCGCGCCGCTACTGACTTGTCCTGAAACCCATTTTTGGACCTTCATTTTTGGTGGGCCTTGGTCTTCCTCTCAACTAATTTCATTCCATTTCAAAACCTTTTTTCTCTTGATTTCGGGTTTCAAAAATCTGGGTAAGTTTTGGCCCTTGTACAACTTGATTTAATACTTTGA